TTAGCCGAAAAAAATGACCATGTATAGTAAGGCGTTTTTGGCCGAAAAAAAACGACCATGTATAGTAAGGCATTTTTAGCCGAAAAAAACGACCATGTATAGTAAGGCGTTTTTGGCCGAAAAAAAACGACCATGTATCGTAAGGCGTTTTTAGCCGAAAAAAACGACCATGTATAGTAAGGCGTTTTTGGCCGAAAAAAAACGACCATGTATAGTAAGCCGTTTTTGGCCTAAAAAAACGACCATGTATAGTAAGCCGTTTTTGGCCTAAAAAACGACCATGTATAGTTAAGGCGTTTTTAGCCGAAAAAAACGACCATGTATAGTAAGGCGTTTTAGGCCGAAAAAAACAATCATGTATAGTCAGGCGTTTTGGGCCGAAAAAAACGACCATGTATAGTAAGTTCACCAACATTCAAAATTTGATCACTTTTCTACTCCTTAAATTTCTAACATTACACATTAAATATGGCGTTGGAATGTAAGTATACCTTTTATTTAAGCTGCCTCTAGGTACTGGTAACACTTATAAAATCGTCATAATTTTTATCAACCCTTGTACAATACAGGGTGACTTTGGAATACAGCTGCTCAGTCAGCTATAGTGACATTCATTTTGGGAAAATGCAAAAGAATCTATGCCTGCTAAGTATTGTTCTTGTACTGTGCATCGTTGCAGACAAGAGAACTGACCCATGGCCGCTGATCTACTCGCCGATCCCGGTCACAATCATCGTCTGGATGTACCTGGGCCTGGTCTGGGCGGGGCCTCGGCTCATGAGAAACAGAGAGCCCGTCGACCTCCGCGTGGTCCTCATCCTTTACAACTTGGCCATGGTGGGCTTGTCGGCCTACATGTTCCATGAGGTGCGTCAAACCCTCTTTTCTTTTTGGAATGTGTGTGAAGTTGAGCGATTGCCGCCACAGTCTTCGTTCTTTGCCACCCCTTATGTAGATTTAGACATAACAATTGATATTTTTTTTAAGTTCTTGAATTTGAAATTTCCTGTAAAAACCCATTAGAGAGGCGACGTTTTGAACCAACTGGAGAAGTTTGGAGGAGGACTGTCTGACTCCAAAGGAAAGCGCATGACAGTGTATCGCAATAATAATGATGAGACTCGGGAATGAGCTAAACTGACCAAATACTGTATCTGTAAACACCCAAGGAATTTGTTTTGTTGTTGATGTTGCACGAGTGCGAGTGTCACCCACTCGGAAAGCTTTGTAATTGCCCCAATATACCACAAGATGGTAGCAAAGCACTTGGCCTTCTATTAGACGAAGCTACGGCCTGACTCCATGACTCCTCTCTTCCATCCTTCAACTTGTTAAATTTAATCTTGTTTTCAAAGTTGGGCCTACACACCTTCGTTCATGTTCTCTGTCATGGATTGACAGCACATTGAGCCAATTTCCAGTCGAGTGCAATTAAGCGATCCAGAGCTCCTCCTATTCGTCCCTTGGCTTCCAAAAGCTCTAACTGTGAAAATTCTCGTGTGACTTGTCTCGCAGTTCTTGGCCACTTCCTGGCTGTCCAACTACAGCCTCCTGTGTCAGCCGGTGGACTACAGCAGCAGGCCGCTGCCCATGAGAGTGAGAAACATTTGGCGGAAAGAGTCTGTAAGTTGACGTGTGCGTTTTCCTCACCGGCGTCTCTCCGTTGCTTCCTTTTCAATTAGATGGCTCGGGCCTGCTGGTGGTTTTTCCTCTCCAAAGTCATCGAGCTCAGCGACACGGTATGTATATCTTTTCATCATTGGTAAACGGGCATTTGCGGGTGGCGGAAAAGGGATCGCCTACCGACTGCACACCTGAAAACGGTGGCGGAAACTTGCTTTGGGTTGCGCCTCCAAATATTCATGGGTCGAGCTAGTCGTTGGAAAAAAGTCTTTTGATACTATTGATCTCGGTCATAAAGTCACCATCCTTTCTCTTGTGTTGACGGGAGCAGGTCTTCTTCATCCTGAGGAAGAAGAACAGCCAGCTGACTTTCCTTCACGTCTTCCACCACGCCACCATGATCTTCAACTGGTGGTCTGCGGTCAAGTACAGGGCCGGCGGACAGTGTAAGCTCGCATGTTGACAACGTTCCCGGACAAAAGTGACGCAGTTTGGGGCAGATTTGCAAGTAGAGAATTTTCCACGGGAATTTCTGGGGGTAAAACAAGGCCTCTTGTCTTGTCGCAGCTTTCTTCGCGGCCCTGCTCAACACGTTGGTCCACGCTGTGATGTACTCTTACTACGGGCTGGCTGCTCTGGGCCCTCACATGCAGAAGTACCTGTGGTGGAAGTCCTACCTCACCTGCCTGCAGCTGGTAAGAAGACGGCGGTTGATTGAGCAATTCTCTGCTCCTAGCCGGCACAGCCCCCACCCCCGCGCGCGATTGGCTGGCAACCGGTTCAGTGTGTTGTCCCCCCCCCGCCTACGGCCCAAACACAGCTGGGATCGGTTCCGGCACTCGCCGCAACCCTTGTGAGGATAAGCAGATTAGAAATGGATGGATAGAAAGATCCAAATAGTGAACTGACTTTTAAAGCTACGGCGCACCATTCTGCTCGTTCATTTTTTTTTTTTTTTTGAAGAGAACATTTTAGTTTAAATGCCATAGCATTTAGTGTTTTTATCTTCGATTTATCTTTTTACACTGCAGGATTAGATTTTAATCTCTATATATTTTTGATTTGCAGTGATTTTGATTTTGACTTTCAGAATGTAGGTGTCTGGCGACTTAATTGTAAGTCGCCAGATGAAAGGAAATTGTTTCGGAGCTCGGTTGAAAAATATTTTGCAGCAAAAACGCAAGAGGGAGAGGAATAAACATTGAAGCAATCTGGTTGAAGGTACAAAATCTAAAAAGGTACAATTCTAGAATTTGTCAGAAAAAATAAAAACTCAAAGTACAAATAGTACAAATTGACTCAAGTACAAAAAAAAAAACTGAAGAGCAAAGATGAAAAAAAGTAGGACGTGACATGCAACGCAAAGAAATGAACGCCAGCTTTCATTCTGCCTCTCCAGCTGCAGTTACTGCTGATAATCACGCACACGACCTCCAACCTGCTCACCGAATGCGACTTCCCGCTCGCCACCAACCTTTTTGTGATTTTTTACACCACCATCCTCATCCTCCTCTTCTGTAACTTCTATCGCCAGAGCTACCGAGACAAGAAGAAGCAGAAGTAAGATGGTGGTTTCACATTTGTACAGCGCAATCAAAGGCAAGACATGCCGCTGTATGTGTGTACATACTCACCGTTGCCACAAGGGGGCAGCGCAGGCCCATGTCGGATTCAAAACAACCGGGAAATGATGACATGTTTCATTCATATATTTATTTTTTGAATGGAGGAAATGGCAAACATTCAGACGTGTGTGGTGCGCAATCTGTACATTTATACACAGAGGGTCGGTTTGCTCTGCATTACTGTAGCAAGGACACAAACCCAAACCCACAAAATCAAACGGAGGAATGCAAACATTGTTTCACCCCCGTTATTAAAACAACAGAGCAACATGATACGCGTGTTTCTGTGCTTCGCTCTGAAAACAGATGACCAATACAAGAGGATGTTTTCACAAAAACGCATGAGAGGAAATGTTCACATTGTTGCGGCAGGGTCACCGAATCCATTTCTTCTCTTTCTATTGGATCAATAAAAGTGATTGTGAAAGGATTTTGGAGAATTCACTGGCTCAACGCCTTTCTCACAAACCCTCCTGTTAGCTTTCTTTGGAACAGTGAACCCCCGCGATTATAATTGACAAGTGTAGTAATGCTGTAACTGTAAAGATCTATACATGCCACATAACGGCGGCAAATAACTACTTTTTGTCAAAATGAATCTCAACTCACTCCACTACTTCCTTGCCACCAGATGTCACCAAAGTAATCTACTGAGTTACATGGAGACTTGCAGTCTCAGCTCTCCCAGCCAGGCCCCGCCTCTTAAAGGCACAGGCATGTACACTGTCAACATGTATTTGCAGTACAGTTTTGTGCAATTAGGGGTGTTCAAATATCAAAGTTTTTTTTAGTCTCGATATCTATTGCGAGTCTGATCGCGGGGGTTCACTGTACAATCAAAAGAAGGCGGAGTGGATACTAATGACTTGAACTAAACAAGATGGAAAACTTTCACCAGCTATATCTCAAAAGTGTTTTGTTTTTTTTCAAAATACTTACAATAAAATCAAAATTAGCGTTTGTTGTACAAGTGGAAAGCTGCGCCTTTGCCACTGGAAGGTACGTGTGACGTGATAACGGCGAGTTCTAAATACTTGTACGATATCTGTGTTACGACTCGGAGTACACTGACGACATGTGGCCGAGGCTGCGCTCAAAGCTGCCCGTCTGGAAGTAGGCGCCCTCCTCTGGACTGGAGGAGAACTGGCACCCTGTGCCGCCTTGCAGCTCCTGACTCAAGTTGAAGCCTGGGAGACGTGCGCACACACACACACACGCACACGCACACACACA